ACAGCTGATGAGGGTAAATGCCCCACGCAAATCTCCGCTTCGTATGTGATTTAAAATTTAAAAACTGCTAAAACAAAGATTGTCACAAATACAATAAAATGATACTGTTACGCGGATACACCTCCATCCACCATATTCGAATTTAGCTCGGCGACGTCCGAAGATCAACAATTCCTGAATATTTTACCTCGTCTAAAGTATCGTTCATTTTCACGTAGTGTTAATTCGCGAGAATAAGCTGTAATAACAATTAAAAGCGAGTAGCAAGAGCAATTTGAAAGGATGAAATGGATATGTAATTAAGTTTACGCCGAAGAAACGCCGTTTGTGAATTTAATGGAGAAGATACCGGATACTAAAGGCGGGGGAAAATTTTACAAGCATAAACTGTATTTGCGGAGGTTCGTTTTATCCTTCCAATGTACAGTAATTACTATCGAAAGCGCAAACTTCGGACTATGGTAATTAATGCCCTGTGGAGTTGACGATTGTCTCGGAATTATGGTCCACCTCTGAGCACGTGGATATAAATGTATCGTAGCCGTAATTCGAAATTGAATTCCAAATTATCGATCTCCCGCCTTATTTGGTATGAACAGTTAGATTGAATTTAGCCATTTCTCGTATTAAACAGCCGCAAAGGATGCATTTTTCAGCGTTCTCTCTGAAAATGTTCCATCTTTCAGATGCAGAATTCTGCCGGGTAACGCAAGACAAAGGTGATATCCTGCCTGCCTCGAGCAACGCAGCAAATAGCGAGCGAAACGTGACTGGTAACAGTGTAGATTGCAATAAGCTCGTGCTCCTTAACTAAGCGCTTCAACCTGAAGCTGATCTTCCGTCCGTCCTACTCATTACCTTCCGACTGCTGCAAACGTGTGGTTTCAGGTGAAGTTAGATTAAATATCTAACAGCCGAGTGATCCTTATAGTCTCGAACGAAATGGGATTCTTCCGCCGTGCAGGTCGCGAGAGACACGCAAACACACACCCACGCGTACACGCATACGCGCAAAATCGAACATGACGTGAGATTTTCGCCAGGTATAAAATTCGGTTTGAGCCGAGAGGACACGTGTTGCGGAAGTGACGCGGTTCTTTCGCGTTGCCGCGTTGTCGGATCGCAGCGGCACGTCTCTCATTCGCCGAGTGAAAGCCCTTGTGTAACTTGGCAACGGCGTATCTTTGCAAGCGCGCCGATGCGAGGCGACACACGCGGATCACGCGCGATTATGTCATTTTTCCCCTTCGTCCGGGTATTTTCGCGAAATTCTCATCGTATCAGCGGAAGAATTTGTGCGTTTAGGGAGTACCGACTGTCCACCGGTGGGGGTGCGACTTTCCCGCGCGCGCGGGGTGTTAATTATCCACACACCGTTGTTCTCACATTCGACCGGCAACCTTTCGTCCGCGAGCTGTTTATGCTCGGCGTTCGCGTCCCGGCTAATTACGAAAGAGGGGAGAAACACTCCGGTCGGAGTTACCTGATGTGGCGGTTGCGTTCGAATCGATACCCGGAACTTCAATTATTGGCCAAGTCGAATGCGTATCCCGCGTGAGCTTTCCTCACGGCGTTATCAAATAAACGGATCCGCCTGTCTATATCCGCCGATCTCGTATCTACGGCGCGATAACGAGCGTGTGCTCGTAACTTTAATTTTAGAAATTGCCCGTAAGTGGGGAAAATAGGATATCATCATCGAGAGCAAAAGGAACCCGTTCTTCGTGCTGCTCCCTTTGACTCTCTCCCGCCGTCGCTTATTGCTCCGTTTCTTCGTCTTTTATTCGCGACGACGTCTCGTGTCGCACGGTCGTTAAAGTCGTATCCACATCGTGCAGTTACACGTACTCTCAAGGAGAGTACGTTGTAGAAATTCATATTGTGCAAGTCAGTCACGTGTTTTCAGCTTACTTACCTTTCGCTTCAATGCTCTTCGTTTACTTAAGGGATGTTTTCTTTTTAACGGCATCGTGCGTTCGAGTTGTCGTTATATTTGCTCTTCCGATACAATTGTTCCTTGAACAAACGTCGTGCAACTTTATCATCGGCTCACCCCTCCGATCTCTCTATCATATCGCGACGTTATGATGCTCAAGCGACACTCAGAAGCGCGAATGTTTAGCAATAAACGCAAAGCGTTGGGATGTGAGTAAGAATAAATCGCGCTATAAAATGATGCTGTGTTTGTCTCGGTTATATTATGTACGTTACGGCACGCGTCTCATTATTCTGACGTGGTGACTTACGCGATGAGCACGCAGCCGAGCCTTACTTCCTTGAAAGCTTTTAAGCAAATGTATTCGAAGGGTTCGCGGAAGCTAGTGCTACGCTTTAACGGTGATTAGTGGCGAATATCCAGCGTGTCCTGAAATTTCGCCGAGCTATGTGAGGGGCTGTCGATACCTTCTAAACGGAGTCCGCTATGGGAGCTCTGCTTTCGCCTCTTTCGCCGTTAGACGGTGTTTATCAAATTCCGTGTCCGAACTCGTTCATCAGGATTTTCCTAGAATAACATGCGTTTCGGCCACGATCAAGTAAATTGCGCAACCCCAACAAGACTGAATATCGTCATGAACAGGTTATTCCGCGGTATAGTCATTATACCGCATTATCGGTCGCATGAATTCACGAGGCTTCAGTTAGTCAACTACTGATTAGAGCAATATTTGCACATAATACGACTTCCGTTTTATATATATACATTCGAAGCTTGTGTGAATATTTTTTTAGTTATTCAAATTTCGAATATATTTAGGCTGGAGAATAAAAATAACCTGTGCAATAGCTTCAATATACGGCGCATAAAACATGCGTGTATATATTCATATATCACGATTGATTAAGCGAACAGCATGAAGATATTTTATTAACTGTTAAATAAACGACATCTCGACAAAGCATTTCGGAAATCGCGATACTTGTAACGTAAAGCATAATAAAATCTATAAAATAACCATGTAAGAAACCTTAACACTAGATTGCTAAATTATCCTGTGATTTACCTTATTATTAATCATTGGTAAAAATTACGACTAAGAGGAAATACGTAATATTTGAGAAAAATATGAATTTTATCGCGAGATAGGAATTTACGTTAGAAATATTTATGATAGTTGGATTTAAATCGATGAGAAAATTAAAATAACAATTGCTCAGCACAATCTGAACGCATGCTGACATTACGGACACGTCATATTGCTGTTTACAGTTAATGCGAGTTTCATCGGTCATTTTCCTGGACGGACGCAGACTGTGGCAGGGGGTCGTGATTTTTACGATAGTTCGGTGATCCGGAATTAAATCGCAAGGAGGAAATCATATTTTATCCCCTTCTCTGAAATAACCAACCAGTCATGACGCGATGCGCAGATATGTAATCGGGAATTCCTGCTAATCCTGCGCCCAATAAATATATTAAGGCTATTATACCGATATCGCGTAGATATCGCGTAGATATCACCCAGACGAAGAGGGAGGCTCACACGCGAGCCGTATCTCCTCTTGACAGACGGACACAGCCGTATGTGTGTCTAGGTTAAAAAAATGTTTACAGAAGGATACGCCGGGGAACTCACGCGCAAATATATCTCGCAAATATTACGCGCAAATCTGTATCATGACACGTCGCAGGATAAGGAAAAAAACATACGCTGTTATACGGCGCGACATAGAATGCGTGATACGCGTGTGACACGGTATGCATTAGCGGCTTTCTAAGACCAGCAGATAAGGCTTACGGCCTGTTATTTATGAATAATTTATCTTTTGTCATGAACAGGTTACTCCACGGTACAGTCATTATACCGCATTATCGGTCGCGTGAATTTACGAGGCAACGGTTGGTCAACTACTGATTAGACCAATATTTGCACATAATACGATTTCCGTTTCGCACATCCGAGCGGTGGCGCTATTCTTGAGAAGAAAATCTTTAACTTAAAATAAATAACGAATTTTCGCAAATATAGGCGATAACTGGAAAGTTTCGTTTATTTGTTTTTCTCTAATCACAGGATTATTCGGTTAATATTTAGGTGGCGATAATCGCGCCCACGTGAGGTCTTCGTGAGAGTCTGAGGCACATCCATTACGCTTCGCGTCGTCCTCCGCTTCGTACAGCCCGACTTGCATGCGAGAATGTGCGTCCGTAACAATGTGTCCTGGAGAAACAGATCGTGATCTGCTTGTCCTCTTCGCACGGGGAAGCCTCGCTCGTCCAATTAATTTTTTCTCCCGTCCGCCTCTCCATCCTCTCTCAATCTCGTCGGTCTTCGGTGATACACGAGCGTGTTCCCGAGAGAACGGGCCGGCCTGTCAAGCTTACGTTGCGTTTCAATACCTCGTATATAACTTTGGAATCTCTCACGAATTACTTGGGCTGACCTTCTCCGCGGACGTGACACCTTCAGACTTCAATCAATCAACCGTGTGGGTAAGTATCTCGGGATAAACGGAAGGCGGTGTTGGATTTTTCATCTGTAGGAACAAATTTGAAAGACCAGCGTCGAAATTTGAAATACGAGCGGCCCGGGCAAAAGTTGGAGCTTCCTGAGCGAGAGCCGGCACCGGTTTCAGGCTTTCGCTCGGGGCTAATTGCAGGTATTAAGAAGCAAGGCCGTTCCGTATCTACGGCTAGCGCCTGTATTTCGGGATTTAACAACACGGACGTATTTCACAAAGCGACCTATGACGTTATCTTTCCATGACGATTGTCTCGTATTTTTTTTTCTTTCCTTGAACTACATTTTACAGCTGGCCGCTTATCGTCCACCTGAATAAGCGGCACACCGCCGGTGGTTCTGGCGCGCGCGCGCTCTTTTCTCCCAAAATTTGCATGAAACTCGCGGTGCGCATAATCACCGGCCAATCAGGGGAAAGCACCCACTCGCGGAATAGTCTTATCGAGAAGCTTGCGCGCGCGCGCGCGCGAACACCAGGCAGATATAACCGCTAGTCTACGCGGTTATAACGTTCGAGACACGCGCCAAGAGGGCAAGAAGTCGACCGATTTTTCACCGACGTCGATCACGCGCGCCGGCTCGCCCGCGATCAGCTTTCACGATCGTGACGAACTTGCCCGCACGGTCGCACGCGCGATCGGCATACGCCGTTTGGCTCCTCTTAGCACGAGAGTGATTCGCGTGCTCTCGAATCGCAGACATGGCCGTCTTAGTCGTCTTAGCCGTTTCCCTCGCGATCACCTTGATCGACGCGGCCTCCATCGGCTATGTCGCCACCTCCGGCCCGAAGGATCTCTGCGACAGGTGAGTGAAAGTACACCAGCGAGCTTCGCGAGTGCCGGCCGCCCGAGCGCGATTCTCCTTTCCCCGTCTCGTCCCGCGTACGCTTCATTGAAGGTCAAGTTTACGAATAATTATCTCTCGATAGTTTCATGACCGTTTCTGGGTCATCTCAACTCTCCTCAACTAGAACGCGCGATAGTGCTTCGGCGTGTCCCTCCGTTTCTCGTTTTCTCGTTGTTCCAGGCAGAAGGAACTCAAGTTCATAGATTTTTATTGCTCTGTCTCGTTATTGTCCCCTTTTGTCTAATTCGCTTAATTTTCGCGCCAGCGATTCGAATACGTATTTCCGCGTGCTGAGTGAAATTAGAAATTAGACCGATGAACTTTGGATGGTTACAAAGGACCCCGCAACAAGTAATTTTTGTCGGCGAACCCGTAGAGTGAATTTTTTTACAGCAGTCTTTCCAAATGTCGGCCATTCATTTCAGTACGGAGATATCGGCAATTCTTTCTCCCCCGGTTTTTGTTGCCATCTTCTGATACAAAAAATTAATAAAAATTGCTTTATTACACGGAAGACCGTTGGGAATTTTCAAACGGGTGAAATTAATATTGTTTGTTGAATTGCAATCTTCGTATCGCGGCGTCTCTTCATTTACCCGAAATTTGTTTTTAAAGTAGAAAATCTTTTGATAAACTGGTTGATATGCGTCTTATTTATAAGAAGCTAGATATATTAGAAAGAAGCTGCGTGCGCGCGCTTATAAAAATAGTACTCTAATCTTTTATAATCACCCGAAGTTCGTTTAGGTTCGGGACCACCTGTAAGGAATAAAGCGTAGCGCGTTTCATAAATTTCTATTTTGATATTTTAGGCTTTCGCGATGCGGAGAAATCACTTAATTTGACTTGCGAGTTCGTGCCGCATGTTTTATGGATTTGTTTTCTTTCTGCCTGGGAAAGAAACCCGCGAAGAACGTGTCACTAATTTGGGAATCAAATTAAGCGATTCCTATATTGACGAGGACAATTGGCTAGAGAATTTTTCATGATTCCTCGCTTCGGACGATCTCTTCTTCCTGATTATATTTGATTATGCTTATGAAGAAAATTTTTCCTCTTTATTGTAACGATCGTTCGAGAGAAAATCGTCTTGATATATTTACATAATAAGATATACAATCGAACTGGAGCCCACGCGAAGCAACCTCGATACAGTTGAAGTTCATACAGTCACTTGGACAATTTTAACGATCCATCGTCGTTCAGTGACAGTCAGGTTTTTTTTACAGTGGGCGTTCGAAACTTTCGCCATTGTCTCGAAGACATAGCGGCTCTCCCCCGTTGAAATACTCATCGCATCAGGGTGGGAGATAACTTCTTGAGGAATGTTAGCACATCTCTCACCGATATGTCTTTTCGCATCGTTCGTTATTTCTGACGCGATAAAATCTATAAAAAGACAGGCCGTCCCTTATTTAAACGATCAAGCTGTGCCAATGTGTTTTATTGCGGTAGAAAAAGGAAAAAAGTTAAGCGAACACGGATCCACAAATATATGATTAGAAAGTCACACGTAAAGTGAGTAATAATGGTAGCGAGTGCTTGCTACCAGAACAGGTTGGTGATGAATAGGCTTTTGGCATACGCTAATTGAATAGGTTGTTGATATTTACATAATCTGTTTCTTCGGGGTATGTTTACTATTTGAAATTGCTGAAGGTAATTCGTTGCTTGTACCGCACCGGTGTATATAGAGCAATCTCCTATAAAAATGCAACGAATTTTCTCAAATGACTACGCGGATATGCATTTCATCGTGCGGTTTATGCGACGGAAATGTTCGAGCTGAGATCAGAGATCTTTCGAGATCGCCAGGTCTCATGTCGTTTCAATTGTTATCTGTATGAAATTGTGGGGAAAACCTGTATCGAACGAACGTCGGTGTCCGACGAGAACTGACAACTGATCGATTTCTTATCTTTGCGCCGACAAGAGTAGTGAGCATTTTAAAAATATTTTAAAAACATTAAAAGATATTCGTTCTTCCTTCCTTTCGTTATAACCTTCTACTTAAACATTTCTGGATTCTACGTTATTTGCTTTGAACTTCCTTCCTCCAACATTACAGAAGGCCAACCACGTTCAATAAGATCCTTATGCGTGGTCTACAATGAGCAGTAGGAATAGTGGTAGTGGTAAATAAAAGATTAAAAAAGATTCCACTAGAATACGTGGAAATAGCACGCACGTATATTTGAACAAAATCACCTTACTATTCTACGCAACTCTATCACGTTGTTTCATATCGGATGACACCGAGCGGATCATTAACGAGACGTCCCGGAAATTTAGTGAGCGATGATAACGGCTTATCTCGTACTGAACTGATTGATAACGTTCGCTTACGTCGGCTTGCCGAGTGTTCGTTCGTCATCAATTTCATCGGTTGCAACAAATGGACGTCGCTTGAGGATCACGAGTGACCGAAATTCGGTTCACGCGTCCTTCGTTCCTTTAATTAAATGGAAACAAACTGACATGTGTTGCCGATAGTTTATTTATACAGCGGCTAATTAACAGTTGACATCCCCCTCCTTTTGTACAGAATAATAATAATAATTATGCTTTATATCATTCTATCAATAGCGATTAACTCGAACTCATTAAGCTTAGAGGATTTTCCGTCTTGCGCAAGTAAACAAGGATAACTCAGTCAATTGAAGTTCACGTTAACCTCAACCCCGGTGATATCGATCTTTCATACCACAGGAAGAAAATCAAATGGAAAATAAGGGAGGCGTGTGGAGTTTTTTTTTTTTCAGCGATATCAAGCTGTTAAATTCAAGAGTGAAACCTGCCGATTCACGGAAATTTCGTATCGCGGAAATTTCACAGCCGAGATTTCTCCTTATCACTTATCAATTTCTCCCCTCGTGTCATTTATCCACTCATGGAGGGAAATATGAAGTGTTCATTGACGGCGCTCTATCTTCCGTCGGCGAGAACGATCGGCATTCCACTTGCGAGAAGTGTCTTTACAGTTTCGGATCCGCGGATTTCCCTCCCCCGATTCTTCCTATCCTTTAATCCGTCGAGATTCTACCATCCCTGACTCTCTCCGCAGCCATCGACACGACACGTCCTCGTACACTGTTCGACCTCGTGAAAGGAAAACAGATTACCTTTATTTGAAATACTTCCGTAATACTCGCGGTGTTCTTATATGATACAGAGATACGATACGATAACAATACACCAGATATATCACAAACAATGCATCAAATAGAAGCTATTTATTTTTAATAAGAAGTATAAAAAACTGAAAAACTCATATTTTATTTCATGAGAAAACAAAGAAATATTTTGAAGTATCGTACTTTTTTAAAAAGTTTACCAGTGGTCATTTGTTCCGCACATAGTGAAAGTTTTTTCGTTAAAACGATCCGCTGAAGTTTTGTTTTGCTTCAAAAAACGGAAAATTAATTTAACATTATATTAATGTACCTTTTAACGCATATTTCACCCGTGTTAAAGTAATACGAAATTTCAGACCGTTTTTAACGCAAAATTCTTTACTATATGCAGATTTCCGGGCGAATTGCGAAGTAACGGGAAGGAATTCGTCGCTGTTTCTAACAGTATTCAAGAGGAGATCTCGTGGCTCGTAAAAAAAAAAAGAAACACTTCACGTGGAGCATTCTGCATAAATATGCATGATTGCGCTCTGCTGTAAATTATCCCAATGTCACAAAATATTCGCATTCTTTCCCCGGGTTCTCAAGGTAGAGAAGTTTCGTGACTTGGGTTTTGATATATAAGCGACCGGTTTGCCTTATGTAAAAGGCGTTTAATTTCCGTATCGCACCTTAGTTCCTCAAATATCAAGTGTCAAGGAGGTTCCTCGAATGTTAGAAGAGATCGCGAGACCGAGGAATTTCGCGAATATCTGAAACTTAGAACGTACCGACTTCTACGGTCTTTCGTCTATAGAATTGTCGTTCCGCACAGATCGATCGATCTCACAGTAACCTCCGGTTTCTCATTACGATTTCGGTATGGCTCACTCGTAGTTCCTGATTTTCGACAAAAGAACAACCCCGTCGGGGGAGAACCCGCGGATCTGAAATACGATTTCACCCCGAATCGACGGGCGTTTCTTGCGAAAACGAAAACAAAGCGTTCATTATGCTCCGGCGGTCTCGAGTCCGCTAGGAAACAATGGACCACCCAATGAAGGATGTTGTGAACGGCTTCTGCTCTCGAAACATGCAACTTTCTTACCTGATTTTATGCCCCGTCGATCTTTCGAAGCGTAGGTTCGCATCGCGCCGACGTCGATGTCGACGTGCTTGTCGGGGAAAAATAACAGGCTTGTCCAAGTTTCACTTAAAGTTGCCGTCCCTCTCAAACTCGAATATCATGGCCGCCGAGACAGATCCTTCGGCCATCGCTGGAATATATCGACATTTGATATCCTAAGGTAAAACGGTTGATGGCAACAGTTCCTTAAAGAGCAGACGAAAAGACGGAGTGTAAGAACGACCCAGATTTAACTGATGTCCTTTTTAACTGCGGATTGTGTACAGTCGGATTCTGTCCGATTCTATTTTTAGCAAAATCTTTCTCGGAAATTGTTTCTTGTCGGAGCTTTGTTCCTTTCAACATTAGATTCCGTTCGGACGTAGTTTCTGAAATATATAGAGATAATTATTTTTTATTTTCACGATAATTTTCTTGTCTAATTGCCGAATTTCTTATAAGTCGAATTTAACATAAAATAATTCTAGAATTTCTTAAATATCTCTTTATTTGTATCGCTATAAATTTTCGTTTAAGTGAACGTGCGTGCGTGTGCGCGCGCCGTCCGTCCGTTTTTTTCTTGAAATTAAATGTTCCACCAAGTTGAGCATTTATATTTAAAACATTCCGGTTGAATAACAAATTTTACGCTTTAATTTTGTTAATCACTTGATTGTTAACCAGCTTGATGTTCAATTTAACACCGTGCACCGTGCGTCATGTACGTTTACTCAGGTTCTGTAGTTCAGAACGCAAGATAAATACAGACCACACAAAAGCATTGAAGTGCATTAAGCCTTTCCACGCTGATGAAGCACAGACGGGAGAGTCCGTGCAGATCTTTGGAAAACAAGGTTTCATTCTTCATTGACGTCCTGACTTAATTAATCGAAATTCTTTCGATTTGAATGCCACATTGCACGGGAATATACGCATCGAAATATATCACCGTCGGTTTTAATCTAAGAAATGGCAATATCGGTGTGCGAAAATGTGAGATGTCCTGTATATTTCCTCGGAGATCCAATGATGGCGACTTTTTTTCTTTTTTTAATTTAACGATATTACCGCGGCTAATGATGCAACTGCAGCGATTTCAGCGAACGCGACAAATTCGACAAATTCTGTCAATATAATGTTATTCCCTTATCTCTACGTCGCACGATACGAATATCGTCGTGTGCAAACATATATTGAAACGAATTAATTGTTTCCACTGTGATTTAATTGACGATATTTGCCAATTACACTTTTCGATTAACAAACGCGCTTCTATGGGCTTTCAGCAAAGTTTATTGCGAGGGTCCGCTGTTGCACACGGTGCAGCTCAGTGGAATTTTTAACGACAGCAAAACGTTCGTGGATCGTTACCAGCTTCACGAGCCGGATGTGACAATTGACAAGTAAGTTATCCTTCATCCTTGATATCCTTCATCATATAAAGAGATGCGTGCGGGTCGATTTCTCGAAATATAATATGTCCTTAATTAATTAATTCTCGCTTTAACAGCGAAACAAGAATGGATGGGCTTCTATCTTCGATTTATAACTCTCATCTTTCTCAATACATTTAATTCATTCTCTTGCTGCGCTTTTTACGACTGTGTGTGAAGTGAGTCTTTGTTTTTGCGCTTGTAAAACATCTTGCTCCACTTTATGAAGTGGTTTAGAACGGGAGCTGCTCGTACCTCTGGAAGAAATAAGTTCAACCTCTTGAAAGGAAAGTTACATTGCGCGTAAAAACACCCCCAACGCACATTTCCTCTAAAAGCGGGCGGTTATCGTTCCGTTAAATTTTTTAAATTTTTAACGGAATTTTTTCACACATATTGCATCCTACACTTAGTTTTCAACATTTTTTGTTGTTGTTGTTCGAATGAATTACTATTATTCCTCGTTTAGTCGAAAGTAAACTTTGCAACGGCAGGGTATCGTATTTTAATATGTTGCTTGGAGGAGCAACTCTCGCGCGCAATATAAATTAATTTTAAAATAGTTCTCCCTCTCACCCCTGAATTTATTCCTAAAACGTTCGGAATAATTGCGGCGAGCATACATAAATAATTTTACAATATAAAAAATAATACTGAAAAATTTTATTAGAAAACATGTGCAAAAAGTGATTTCTTCGTTTGAGTCGGAATATTAACTTGAATTATTAACTTGTCTCGAATTATGGAATCGCGAAATGAATCACTACATAGAAGAATAACGGAATCGTTCAGAGAGGAGAAAATAAAGATCTATAATTTAACGTAGGCTCGGCGTTCAATCTTCCAATCCGTAAACACGTCATTCGGCTTGGATGGGAAGAACGCGAGGGTGTCATTTTAGGCTCACTTCACACGTTGCCTAATCAAATTCTGCGGTTTCCCAATGTGAAGGGAGCTTTAATCGTGTCACAGCTGAGAGCAAATACACGTACCTCTACTTCCTAAAAGCAAAGTCACATACACGTTAGAGACGTGTGCTCGAGATGAAGCTAGGAGTAATTTAAATTGAAGAGTATCGGTATCTTAAAAACTGATTAACGTCGCATCAGATTTTTTAAAGTTATAAATTTTGAGTTATAAGACAACGCACATTTAAGTGATTGGCAAACACAGTGAAATATATATGCAAACAATAACAAAATTAATACAGCTTTAATTAAATTCGCTTGCAATAATAATTAATCTTCCTCATAAATTTACCTGCTGACTTAATAAAGGTTTACAGGACGGACTCGTAAAAGAAAAAAGGGAAGGGAAGCACACAATATTCCCCCCTTGAACTTTTTTCCACATATTTCCTCTTTTACTTTTTATACGTGCGAAAAAATACCGCGAAATTAAAAAATAATATTCCATTATTTTTTTCTCATTGTATAGAATTCTTTATTATCTTCTGACTAAATCAACTTTCGGGAACGACGAGGTTCACCGGACTAAAATAGTAGGTGATGAATTAATATGACTCAATTCTGCCTTAGTTTCAACGCATTGATGAAAGCTACCAACAACAATCCGAATCGCACTCAGGTGGACAAATTCGTTCGGGAAAATTTTGCTATGCAGGATGAGCTGGAAAATACAACGTTGCCCGATTGGCAAGAAAACCCTGACATTCTGCTATCCATTCGAGACTCCAAGTTTCGCGGGTGGGCGAAAAACTTGAACAACATCTGGAGGATACTGGCGAGAAAGATGAAGAATGCCGTGATGGTCGATCCGCAGCGGCACAGTCTGATTCCCGTTAATAATACTTTCATCGTTCCTGGAGGACGATTTAAAGGTGATTATCTGTGCGTATTATTTTAAAGTCAACACGATAGCCATTCGAGATGTGGTTTTATCCATCGGTTATTTCAATCTTTTCAATTGAGTGATCGGCCAATCTTTCTTACATCCTTGAAAAATATTCATCGCTATTTCACGCGAATCTTAACACAGTTCAGTAAATTCAATAAATTGAGAGAAAAAACGGCTCGGAGACGTGCTCTTTCATTTGAATTTTAACGAATTTTAACAGCATTTGCAGTTCCTCATCCTTCTATATTTTATACTTATGGCTTTTTTATGAATTGCGCACATAATTCCCTTAAAATTAAGAGCCGCGCGAATTTTCAGAAAAGTTACGCTTTCGTAATAACGACGGGCATGGAAACTGCAAAGTTGACGTTTTCGCGACAGCTCTTGTATTCCTAGGTGCTCACGTTACAAGTAGCGAAAAGTCCTCTGCGTACTTTTATATGTTTACATCTCTCCTAAAGTCAGGAAGCTTTTAACCATTTTTACGTTTATATACGTTTTAAGAAGAAAGAGAGAGATAGAGAGAGAGAGTAAAGTTACATTTTTACTGCAGAGTTTTATTACTGGGACAGCTATTGGATAATCGAGGGGCTGTTGCTGTGCGGCATGCACATTACCGTTAAGGGGATGATCGAAAATTTCCTCTCCATGGTAGACAGATACGGTTTCGTTCCGAACGGCGGCCGAGTTTATTATCTCTCGAGGAGCCAACCGCCACTGTTAATACCGATGGTACGTAGTTCTCTTTAAACAGCACCACGGGAATTTCAAAGTCCGTTCGTCGCTTGACAAAAATGCCCTTTTTGCCCCGGCAGGTTGAAAAATATTACGACTTTACGAGCGACCGCGAGTTCCTGGTGAAAAACATAGCTCTCCTCGAGGCCGAGTTTGAATACTGGCAGAACGAGAAGACGGTGAATGTAACGAAGAATGGTAGAACGTACAGGATGGCGCGTTACGTAGTAAACAGCCGTGGACCACGACCAGAGAGTTACAAGTAAGTTTCTCTCGGAAGCGATGTGATTGAGGGAGTCGCCGAGATGCGTGATATAACTATCACGAGTTAAATATTCAAGAAACTCGGAAAATATGTTTGACCGTCGATTTTATCCGGCTGTGGTTCTGCGATAGAAAGGGCCAACTAATATTTCTCCGTTAACATTTATGCGTTCGACGAAATGTAAACGTCTGAAATAGCAGAGTATGTTTGTACGATTTCTCATCGAGAGGCTGTCGCGAGCAACATTTCTTTTCTACCTTTTTTACATACATATATATTTTACATACATTTCTTTACATATATATATATATATATTTCTGATATACATCCGTCTTTTCATCGTCCGCGACTGCACCGCAAATCCAAGTGCTTTTACACGCTCGTGTGCGTAAAATCATAGTGTTAACACGCGCAGAAATGCGTAAAAAGTGACCACGTGTAAAATTGCTTGGACTTGCGATGTATGAGACTGATGTTTGAAGTTCGGTCTTCATGAAGCGATTAATCCATCCGTCGCTTGTCGCCGGTTGAGAAAGATTTATCGGGGAAATATCTCTGTAACGCGCGTAACGTCGGCATCGATGTACCATCGGTTATCTCGTGAACACGGCAAGTTTCCGCCACGAGGCTCGCGTCGATCATTAAGGGAGGTCCTCGATCATCGCGCTAATTACGAGGGACCAAGGAGGTAAAGCGCGAACGTGTGCGTTTTCTCGCAGGGAGGATTACGGGCTGGCGCAACAACTGCCGGAGCAGAGGCGAGAAGTGCTTTACAACGACTTGAAAGCCGCCGCAGAGAGCGGCTGGGACTTCTCTTACAGATGGTGTGTCGTAACCAACGAGGCTGGCAAGCTCAGTCTCGTCAACGTCTCCACGAGCAACATTATACCCGTTGATTTGAACGCGATATTAGAACGAAACGCCAGATTGCTCGTCCGCTTCAATGGTATTCTGGGCAACGCCGAGGTAAGCTTCCAGCTGGACTTTCCGTTCGGATAGTTTTCCAAGTACCTGCAGTAGCCGCATCGCTGAATGGCATGCCGTTTATCGCTGTAATAATATCCTTTCGAAAGTTAGAACACGCGATATACATTATATTTGTTTAATCCTTGGTTTAATCATTGGTTTAATCCTCGGTTTAATCCTTAGTTGTAGCGCGATATCACAAATGTAAAGTACACGCGGATAAGCGGGATAAGCGGGGAAGCTAGTTATCATCTGTAATTCCATAACGTTCAATAAGATATTAATTTTAATCACGACTTTGAATTATTATCTCCAACGCGCTTAGTAGCTTTGAAATTATTTTTCTTACGCGTGCACGGAGAGAAGGTTCCTTCGGATTTATGCGTGTTTGTTTCGGCATGGGTTTGTTTAATACAAACAACATAATTTAATATCAAATATCATTTTGTTTGAATGAAAATATCGTTGTTCCACCAGAATAAATCATGCTGTTTGATAGGAAAAACAGTATTATTTAGTGGGAATAATGTTTGGTTTTCAATAAAAGAGAAATTTATTTCATTTACATATTAAATATCGTTCCGTTGAAACGGAAAGAAGTTTTTTAATATTTTTCGAAAAAAATAAACGGTTACTTCTCGTATAATAATTCATTACTTGCGACAACCACTGCGATGTTTGGACGAAAATATAAAAGAAAGAAATATGTTATTTGACGTAAAGAGATATTTATCGATATTTATTGTTTGAGAAGCCGAACAATCTTGTTTGTCGTACATTCGTTCGTTCGTTCCATTTCAAGAGACAGATTTGTCTCAATTAAAGGAACTTTAATCAAATCCAAAGAAATCTCTTTATCTCCGTGGGTGATTGCAAATTAGCCGGAACGAGACGGGTAATCTCATCGGTGCGGCTAATGAAAACGATGATATCGACGCGTTTCAAAATGCTTCTCGCTCGCGTGAATTCGCCTCGCTCTCGTCAGATAAGCGAAGGTGTGGCACGATATCACTGTCGCCTCGTCTCAAATCGCTCGTTATCGATTATCTTACATAGACGGTTACGGTGTTACGTCCGCCGTCGCTGCGGCAACGCTATTTTCCCCCTTTCTCGTTCCAGAAAGTCCGGCGTTATACGAAAATCGCGGAGGACTATCAAGCTGCTATCGACAACATCCTGTGGAACGAGGATGCGGGAGTCTGGCTCGACTACAACGTAGTCAATAAACGATCCAATAATGCGTTCTATCCCTCGAATCTGACGCCTCTGTATACGATGAGCTATAATACTTCGTCCTATAAGAAACTCCAATACGCACGGAAGGCCGTTGCTTACCTTAAGAAAAACAAGATCGAATTGTACTTCGGTAAGTTGCCATCAGATCCGCCCCGGTATTCCGGTCTGAATCAATATGCTTGTTTGTGATTGTTGACGTCTCGCTGACGACGCTCCAAGTTGCCCTCCTGCGGGCTTCTATTTCCGATTTCCAAAACATTTTTATCTCCCACGTCGGGGGTGCTTCGGAGGACCCGCCGATATTTTGGAATTCTTGTTTCTAACTTCATTTCACCGTTTGTTCGTCGCAAAATAATTCCTCCCTACGGTAATTTACTGTTTCCGTTACGTCGTTTGTATATAATCCGGGTTGTATATAATCCGGAAGAACCAAGAAAGAAAACGCTCGCTCGCAAAGCGTTTTCTGCTCTTGCAAGTATCATTTTACTTCTCATCTCTTAAGCACGCTTCAACGTCAAGACGATTAGAACGAAATAAATGGAGGTTTAAAGTGGACAGAATAGAGATGGAGGGACGGAGTAAGAAGCGACGAAAAGTCGAAGAAATTAAACGGTGTGTAACGCCCAGTGAACGCGTCAAGCTAAAGTGGATCAGCTGATCCAACTTCCGCTTCCACGGAGAAGACCGTCTCTCGTCGATCGTTTATCTTCCATTTTCTTTCGCAAGCTAACCGAACGTTACCCACCGAACTTCCACGTCAGTCATACCGGATCGAGAGTAAACAGTAATTCCGTCGAATACTCCCGCTCATGGAAACTGGAAGAACTGCATATCTAAACGAGCACAATGTAAACCCTCTCCCCTCCCCCCTTCTATATATTACAAATATCCGACGTAATAGACAACTGTAGTCAAGAGAATACCGCGAACGGCGCTACAAGTGGGTTATTCGAGTAAATCGGGGCTGCACACCTGATAACAGTGCATCGTCGGAAATAATTAAACTGAGCTAATATTTCTAACCGCGGCAATATGGCGCCCGCTGAATTACCTCACTCGCGATTTCGTACACGTTAATGGGGCGCGGTACGGTTAATTCTGCGCGTCGAGCCGTTCTCAATTATCCCCCTCTTATTTGCGTTCATTCTCCCAACTGCGCAAGTGACGTTTTTAATTATCACGTTACGCTCCGCCGTTTCAGTTTTCCATCGGGAACTTTCCATCGTGGAAGAATTCCGGTGGAACGTAACACGGTGGGCGTAATTCTTTTTTTCCCCCTCTCGACTTATCCTTGAGAAAGTCACGCAAAAAGGGGGCTTGGAAAAATTGAACTCCTTATCTCGGAATAATGTTTCTCGGACGATTATAAGCGCATTTATGAGAATAACCTTGGCGAGTCGTGCCTGTGAATGAAGTGTCATTATTCAGAATAATGGCCCGACCGGAGGAGACGTGTGTGCGAGCGAGATTTCTGAGGCGGGACGGGTGAAATATCGCGATTTATCGGTGCTCGAATCGCACGCACCCCCGAGAAAATTGGACGACTATTAGAAAATACTCTCAATCGGATCGCGGCTGCCAGCGACAGTGATTCGTCGGAATATCGTCGCAAAATGAGTTCTCGCGAATAAACGCCGCGTTATTATTTTTCTTTGTCGGTTATTCGGTGTGCCCGATATTGACTCGTAAAATACGGCAAATTATTATTCCTTTTTTCCCCTCCCCCCCCCCCCCCCCTCCCAACGTGTTATTTGGCCCCATAAAATACGGGCGTGTTTTTAATCCTTAAATATCGCGCTCGAAATGCCGAGGTGGAATTTTCGGCGGAATTTTTGTTTTCGGCGGGCGAGATTTCCCGCCGTAACACAATAGCGTATCGTCATTCCCGGCAGAATGGACAACCCCAAATTTCATCAGCGAAAACATTTTTAATGAAAACGTGATCGTCGCGCAGAGTCAAAGTCTCGATTTCCGATTGTCGCGTTTGGTTGGTAAAGAGCGATCGAGAACGCGAGTCGCACGCGGGGCATTGAATGGCGACGTCGAGATTTCCCCCCAAAAAGCGGCGATCCATAAAATGTTCATCGGCGAAAAATTGACTTTAACCTGATCAAAGGATCGAGAGAACGGCGCTGCCGGATGAAAGGGACCCCCGAGGTGAACTCGAGCCCTCCGTCTATCATATATTTAGTGCGACTGATTCGGCAAGGGCTGCCTTAATCTCGCGCGACACCCCAGATAAATTTTTACCGGTATCCATCAGTACAAACGATGTTGTAACTTGCCTTAATTGAATCACAAATCGCGTTTTCTAATTATACAACATGTACACCCGACGAACGATGAAAAGTTCACCGTGAATAATTGGATGCCCTTTACTGTTAATAATATAAATACTGATAATTTACACGCCGTGTATACATAATTAAGCAAATGTGTCAACTTAATTATTTCTAAATATGCTATTATCGATTGTGGCGGTGCCAGAGATATTCGTGGCCTCGGCTATTTATCCTCGAAATTGGGACACAGGCGTGCGCGAGTCCGCCTGTTATGTCATTACTAAAAGCTCCAATTTACAATATCTGTTCGAACTGGGATTTGTTGAGCGTTATGCATAAAGTATCGGGGGGGG